CGAACAACACCAGAGTTTACAACCGGTCAAAATAACGATTACAGCCAAAAGTAAATTACTTGGGTTTTTTATTTAATTTCACCCTACATCGGGGCCTCCGAGATTTCGTAGCGAATTTCCAGCAAAGCATAATATTACGGGGGAGGGGTGTAAGGCTAAGCGTTAATCGGTGTTAATTTCACACTCTAACACCCCTACTATACTATTGGACTTTCCAGGGAACTCCCTATGAAATCCCCCCCCCCCCGTCCCCCATCCCCAAGATGGGGGAAGAACAAGAGAAAAAACATTATTTGTCTCATGACCACAGACGGCTGTCACTGACGTACATATTTTATTAACCTCATTGTTTTCTTGCTGCGTAAGCAAAACTTAGCATCCGTAAATTAACAAAGACGTCTGATTGCAAAGCAATTGTAAGTAGGAACAGTTGAAAAAAGACATTTTTTGGTTGCCATTTTCCACATGAAATAATAGAATATGTCAGGGTGACATAATAATCTTCTTTTACATCTTCACGTTCACCGGATGTAAACTCCGCCGGGAAGTTTCGAGTTGTTCATCCACCTGTGGACTTCAGTCTGATTTCAAAACCTGGGTGTTGCATCCACATCCCCCATTAGTCGATTCTTGCTGGGGAGGCAATGGGTCTATTCTTGTTTTCCTCATAATGGGGTCATTAAACCCACAGGGATATTAAATAATAATAAAATAGACTATATCAATGGATTTTTTTTTTTTTTTAGTATACAAAAACCATGAATTGTTAACCCTTAGGCTCGGTATTATGGATATCGCAACCCTTGGGCCTTGATTCCATGATGAATACCGTAAATCTGGGAGAAATGTGGCTTTTCTGCCTACCCCCGGGCGTAAACCCAGACCACAAGGAGTTCGTCACCCGGTCACCGCGCAATCCGGTTTAGCTAGCTACGCTAGCCAGCCAGGCATATCAATAGATAAAAATCATCATCATCATCAAGGACAGTGGTTCTCAACCTTCATAATGCCGCGACCCTTTAATACAGTTCCTTCATGTTGTGGCGACCCTTGAATACAGTTCCCTCATGTTGTGGCGTCCCTTTAATACAGTTCCTTCATGTTGTGGCGTCCCTTTAATACAGTTCCCCCATGTTGTGGCCATTCTTTAATACAGTTCCTTCATGTTGTGGCGTCTCTTTAATATAGTTCCCTCATGTTGTGGCGTCCCTTGAATACAGTTCCCTCATGTGGTGGCGACACTTTAATACAGTTCCCCCATGTTGTGGCCTCCCTTTAATACAGTTCCTTCATGTTGTGGCGTCCCTTTAATACAGTTCCTTCATGTTGTGGCGTCCCTTTAATACAGTTCCCCCATGTTGTGGCGACCCTTTAATACAGTTCCTTTATGTTGTGGCGTCCCTTTAATACAGTTCTCTCATGTTGTGGCGTCCCTTGAATACAGTTCCTTCATGTTGTGGCGTCCCTTTAATACAGTTCCCTCGTGTTGTCTCGACCCTTTAATACAGTTCCTTCATGCTGTGTGTGTGAGTGTGTGTGTGTGTGTGTGTGGTGTGTGTGTGTGTGTGGTGGCTGTCTTAGATCCTTCGCCTTTTTAAAAACATCTTTGTTGTCCGTTTTGGCTGTCTGGTAAATATTCAGAATTCTTCTAATAAACTACATTTCCGAGGCCTCAAAAAAATTGACTTGTTTATTATTTGCCCAGTCTTGACAGCTGTATGTTAAAACAGACTCTATATAACATGCAAAAATTATGTTTCTAGCCTCCAGTGACATGAATTTATTTTATAAAATGTTTTTCATTTCATAAAAAGCCGTTTTAACCTGTCCATTCTGATTTTTATTCCTGTGATACAGCTTCCGTCGGATGTTATCCATGTACCTAGAGATTTACATCTCTCTACTTGTCCTAAAATGGATACCAAGTGCACATGTGAGTGCACATGTGAATGCACATGTGAGTGCACACAAGATTTGACAATTTCCATTGTAAAAGCATTACCGAAATTATCTCTACAGGTAGTGATGAGAGCAGCAGAAGATCAACAATACCAACTAAAAATCACTCACTATGGCCTGTGGTGCATCGGAGATATCACATTCGTGTAGACTGGTCAGCACTTTGCGGATGATGTGGTCAGCTACATCCTGGCTGCCTTTGCTTCACAGGACACCACCTGGTAATGTTAGGCTGGGGCGACAGGAGTTACGGTCAATTTTGAAGAAGAAAAAGTGAAAACGAAAACAGAATCAGCCTCGATGCAGATTCGAAATCAAGACCGTGAGATCGGTAACCCAGCTGTCTAGCCACTACCTTACTGCTGCAGTCATTACTGTCTATAGCAGTGGTCTCTAAAGAAGTGGTCCTGTTCACGTTTCCGGGCCTATCTACACACTGCCTGACCTTTCATTCATACTTTCTCAGACTCTTATACATCGAAGGGGTGTCAGGTTGTCTTCCCTCCAGTTACATCGGAGCCGATGTATACTACACGTCGACACAGCTTTCGACGACCCCAGAACACGTAGAACTGGCTCTTGCCCAAATCCAAAGCCTCAGCCTAGGTCACACGAGAGACTCTTTTCGAAGAAAGCGGAACAACGTGACACCCCTGTGACCTAGATCAGACTGAGAAAGTGTGTAGATGGGACTGAACTGGTGAACAGGTTCATGAAGTTTCTAGGGGCGTCAAGCAATTTGGAAATTGAGTTTATCTGTACTTGTACAAATCTTGATTTTGATTTTAAACAATCAAGAAAACAAAACAGTGCTGCCAGATTGGTGTGGAGAATGATTCCCGCTGGGCTTTGTCCAATATCAGACCAAAAATATCCGATATCATTAAAGACAAAACAGCGTCAACCCTGACAACGATATTTGATTTTTGGTGACGGATTCTTTTGTTATTTGACAACTTAAATTTAAGTGTATGTTTTTCTGCAAATGCTTGTTAATAGGGTTTGTCTAATTGTCATTTGCCTTCTTTTAATCACATTTCGTTATGCTTAGGGGGGGGGGGAGGGGGTGGATGTAAAGGGTCATGTTATATGCGCTAAGGGAGCCCCACCTAAAAAAGGCTGGAAGCCACCGAACCAAAGACAAATACTGTAATTCGTTGACAATTAAAATTATTAAATGTAGTGTGCAGTCAACCATACTATATGGCGCACAAATCTTGATTGTGAACATACAAACAGAAAATAGAACAGAAGATCTGCAGAAGTGAAAATTTGGAAAAGAAATCGTTTTTCCTGAAACAAAAATTAGTCTCATGCAAAGATTGCGGAGAGGCCATATATATGGGGGGGTGGGGGGATTTTAGTAAGACAAAGATACGTACAGGGGACTATTGTAACACTGTAACAATTATACTGGAAGCAAACGAGCAAATGGTTAACAGTTATGAGTATGTTGGCTAGCTGTAGTTTAGTATCCATTCATGTTACATAGGTCTATTTCGAGCCTTACACGATAGCGACCTAAAAAAAATCACTTACTATATGATTCCTTTGGCAAATCCACCCTGGCCCAGCTATCCACTTCAGAGCTGCGGTGACTACCTCCACCTCAATTATCTTGCATCAAACATCAGATACAACACCTAATGTTCATAAATCTCATGTCATTACTACGACCAGATGTTGTTTTTTCTTCAGCATTCCAACCCTTTGAGGTACATTACTTAGGTGGCTGCATGGTCTCGAGGCATGGTGTCCGCCTCGAGTATCGGGTTCAATCCCCGGTAAGGGTTAGGATTTGTTCACGTTGACTTGGGCTTCTAGTAATTCCCCCTGGTCTCTGGGTAGTGAGATCGGACCCCGTGTGCATTATTCGTTAAAAAAAAAACACCTTGGCAGTTAGAAATTGAAAGGAGTAGCCTAACGGCGCTGCCCGTGGAAACTTTGGAGTTAAAAAATCTACCGAAAGTATTTCAGTATCCACGCCGGTGCTACAGAGCCTGTGCAATGCGCTGAGCTTCTTAGGACTCAGACTTGAGTTAGAAGAAGAACGCGGCACTTATGCTTTACTACCCTAATACCATGATGTTGATCCGTTGTTCAAACCTCAAATCAGGTACATTACTATAGATATCACTGGTCTCCATTAACCTCAGTGATTGGTCTTTTTCTTTCCCAGCGGGTGGCTCCAATTGTTTTTAGGTCTGTCCTTATATTATTCCCCACCCCTTTCTTAGTCTTTCTGATGGTCTACTCAAATTCAGCTCATTTATGCAGTAATTTTTTTTTTTTTTTTAATTTAATCTCTGTTATCTCTTTATATGCTCCTACAACTGAAGTCTATTAGGAAGATGCTGTGGTTTACCGACTAGGCTCTGGTCTATGGATGCGAAGGTCGTGGGTTTAAATGTAGACGGTACTAGTCTTTGTTTTTCTTTAAAAATAAGATTCTGGTAAGCAGGTCGACCCAACCTTAAATAGGTGACACGTAAAGTTCTAGGAATTAGAGGCGACCGGTGAGAGGCTGACCACATCACCCACAAAATGACGATTGGTCTATAAAATATAGGTCTAGCCCTATGTGCCCAATGTGTCAGAAGGCATCGAAAAGCGTCCTTTGATATTTTTTTAACTTAAGTATTTTTTAGCCTCCATGCTGCCAGCAGCTTGTGGTGGTTGAGACGGATTATGAATTTCGTTGTTGTTTCTCACTCTTTATTCTCCGCTTTCGTATATTATTTGCTTTTTTTTTTTTTTTTTTCGTTTTGTTCTACAAAGTCGGCGTCTGTGGCTTAACCGTTGCGAGCCGCTTCGTTATTTCCGGGGTGCCGGGTTCAATCCCAGCTGCGGGCCTTACGCCTTGCGTTGCTTTCAACTGTGGTATCAAGGAGACGACCGTCTAGAGGCAATGACAGACTACTGGACGTAAAGTTGCCTAGAAAAACCACAACAGCCACCAAAAAAAAAATGCTGGAGTTGGTTCTACGACGTCCTGTAAAGGATACACAACTAACTTTTTTTTGTTTTTGCTTTTTCTACAGATGGCTGGATTGGGGTTATACGCTCATGCTACTACCCTGGATCAGGGGATCTGCCCGGGATCAACGAGACTGTCGGCTGCCATCATTACGTTCACGATAAATACAACTTCACCGCCCTCTACTGCTTCTGTGACACTGAGTACTGTAACCAGGCACCTCATATTTGTTTGACGCAGTTTTCAAAGTTGTGGATGGTCATCGTCACCCTAAGTGCTTTAGTTTGTAGAGTATTGTAGACGATCTATTTTTCTTTCTAAACCTGTTTCTATATGTCCTGTGCATGGCCAGTATGAGAAGAAGAAAACCAGGGTTCTGTAATTGTGGGAAAGTTAGAAGGGGGAAAGAAGCAGACGGAAAACGAGAGTCAAGATGTTGGACAGTTTGACTCCATGGAGAACCATCTATGTTAGAAGTGACTGAATGTACACGAGGCGGATTGTTGTGGAAAGACATGACTACCAACTCCACTCGATATGGACTGTGAAAAAAAAAAATCTCCATTGTGAAATAATATTATGATGTATTACTGTGCTCAATTGTCCATGAACTACTCGCTAAATTGACCATTACCTGTCCAAGATTTAAGGATACACCAGGGTTTCAGCCGTCTTGGGTGTCCTGTTATAATATTCTTGGAGGTTGAAAGGGTTATTTAGCGTTTTCCCTGTTGATTTGTCATCCCAGATGGCACTCTTGAAGTCGCAGAGATTCACAAATCATCACATAGCAAAATAAAAGGGAACACACAGGCAAAGATTGCTCCGTTGCTGAATTTTAGGTGTGTTTTTGGCTATAAAAATTGGTGTGAAAATACATGAAGTGTGTGCCTAACATGGTCTGTGTTGAGAACTGCATTTTTATAAAATCGCCAGTGATCTGATGCCACAGAACTGGGGATGCCTTATGCGATTACATTCATGTGCAATTATTATATTTCTGTAACTGCTGCCTACACCGACGATGAACTGCAGTTTTAGGGCCGGACTGTTTGTGTTGGCACCTCTGACGACTGCTTTATGCATTTAATCTGTGTATTCATTATTAACTTTAACGAGAATGGAGTCTGCGTCCATGTTTTCACAAAAGACAGTGATGTGCATTGCGTGTATTCTAAGGAACGGTGAAACTACTGGGTGATCCGTTTGCTATGAATTAAGTTGGAACTGCCAATACTAGACGGTGTATGATTTGAAAGAAGAGCCACGTTGGCGCAGCAGCTAGCACACCTGACTTCAGCGCTTGTGGTTTAGGTTTCCAATTCATATCATGACGGATTTTTAAAATGTGTTCCAAGGCTTCTGGGTCAAGACAGCATACAACTAATACTAGGAATATGCCATGCGATGTACAGAAGGCCGGTTCTCAGACACATCTACCTGTTTGGGATTTTTACTGAAACTCGTGTATGGCAATTATTGATCCCAAGGGCGAAAAATGACCTGTATCTTTATTAATAGTATTATTATTATGGTTTTTTTTTCCATACTTATCGTCCTTTTTCGTTATTTGAAGCCCTTCTCTGGCTTTTGCCAGGGGCCGCAATATAGCTGTTTCTTCAAAATTACCTTCTGAACATCTTATACCACTTCAAATTACTGGTTCTTATTAGAAGTAAAGATCCCTTTTCACGCTTTTAGGCGCATAGGGCATATGGGAATAGCACCCAAATTACAGACCAATCGGCACTAGGTAGGTAATGTGGTCAGATTTTCGCCAGCCGTCTTTACTTCTCCAGGACAGCCATCCTGGTACCCATTTTAGGCTCAGTCGGCCTGCGACGCCCCATACCGTGATAAAAATCCACGCAGCCAGCAGGTAGTTTCGATGGCGGTATGTTGGAATTACGAGTCGGACTCGCAACAACGCCTAAGCCACGGACGCCGCCCACTGATTCTTATTATTAGGTATTAAGTTTTGTGTATTAACTTAACTGAGTTTGAACTCTCAGCATATGCGCTATTCAGTAAGTGGGAGCAGCCGTGGTCTAACGGCTAGACGGTTGCCTACAGATCGGAAGGTCGGGGGTTCGACTCCTGACAAGGTGCGCACTTTTTTTCCAAATGACCTTGGCTTCCAGATCGACCCAGCCTTCAGTCGGTACCAGGTACAGTCATGGGAAGTAAAGGCGGTCGGCGTAATGGTGACCACATCACCCACCAAGTGCCGTTCGGCCCATAAAATATAGGTCTAGCCCTATATACCCAGTAGGCCTGAAGGCGAGGAAATGGGTCCTTTACTTTACTTACATTTAGAGATTGACAGTAGTCGGATGCGGTAATATAATCGTTAGGACAAAAAAAAAATTCGATTAAACGATTCCGACTGTAATACTTTTCTTCTATAATATGAACATTTCTGGAAAGTCTATTTAATACGCGCTAAAACCCACCAACACTGGACTACAGATTACTTGATAGCCGTTTTGTGGGGCCCCAATATAATTTTGCAATAGGATGGAGCCCGAATGAAGACGGGAGCCCGAAGACAAATGATCACAGACATCAAAAGGAGAGACATCATTTTTCGGCCATGTTATGAGTCGAGGAAAAATGGAACATGTGGTGACCACTGGAAAGATCTGGGGAAGGAGGAATAGAGGAAGACAACGAGAGAAGATTCTAGACAGTCTTGTTGCATGGCATGGACGTGTGTCAGCACACGAACTGATACATGCTGCAAGAAATCGCGGATTGTGGAGGTGTGATCGCCCACGCCAGTAAGCAAGGCAACTGAAGATGATGATAAGATTGAACGGAGTCTCTTGGATATGTACATGTTTGATTCTCATCCTTGGGATGTTACTTTTACATACTGCAATCCTGGAGTAAAAAGAACATTTTTTAAAAATCTGGTTACGTAATTAAACGCATCCTTCTGGTCCTGCTAGCGTTTGTGGTTTAGGCGTTTCGAACGCGCTTTGTTATGCCGGGTAGCAGAACGTTATACCTCCTCAAAAACCGAAGCGGTAAAAGAGGAAGAAGAGAAGAAGAATAGAATTTTTTCAAGCAATTATTGTTAGTTTTTCTTACAGTCCAAGGTATTCGCAACATATTTTTCAAGAACCACATCTCAGTTGCCTCCAAACTCTTCTTAATTTGTTTGTTCACATTCCAAGATTCACTGCCATAAAACAGAACAGATTCGGTCTGTAGTTTCAGGTTTTTTATTTTCTTTCATGTGCTGTCTTATAAACGATTGGAACGCCGGGCTCTCGAGCGGAAGACCAAGGTTCAAATTCCTGGTAAGGCTAGGGATTTTTTTTTTTTTTTTGTAGAGAGCAAAATTATAATCCTCACCTGCACAGTCGTGGTGACAGCACATGTGACCGTAGATACTCAGGCTCAAAGACCCCACTGCCTACACCACAAAAGGAGTAATATAGGCAGTTACTGGTAGTTTTTTATTGGCAGTCTTTTAGCGACTTTTGATCTTTTCTTGCAGGAGTGCGATACATTATCTAAATATTTTTCTCCTGTTTTTAAGCGCTTTGAATCCTATATTAGCTTTCTCATTTTTAAGCGGAACGAACGGGATGTTGTAAACATTTCTGCCAGTTGCCGAAACAAATGTGACGGCACAATCTCTTTGATTTGTTGACGATCTAAATCACATATATTTCCTGATGCACATCATTGTCGCATTTTGTTCTCTGTTTGCGTGTGGGTTTGTTCTGTATGTCTATATTCTATCTGTCTACTTGTGTATCTGTCTGCATATCTGTCTGTCAGTCCGTCCGATAATATGTCTGTCTGCATACATATGTACATGTCTGTCTCCCAGCCCTGTCTGTCTACTGGTCTGATAGTGTCAGTTGGCGTCAAGTTAAGAACAAATAAATTCCTGTTTGCTTCAAATATGGCTGTATTTGTAGCTTTAAATATTGCAATCATGAGTCGTTTGCTATGGCAACCTCCTGCTCCAGTCTAATGTTTAAATATATATTAAATTTCTTTGAGAGCTACTGTATTCTTATAATAATAGTGCTACAAAGCCAAACCAATTAACCTTGTTTGTTTAAAACATGGTCTGACACTGGTGCTATTAGGTAGTATTGTCCTTGTATGCATGTGTCTATAGTGCGTATACAAATTTGTGCCGATGTTGAAAAACAGTTATTTTTCATCTGAATTTGAATATAAATGGTCGAAATTGTATATTACAATTTACTTCATTCGCAATTTTATGTCATATTTTTTGCCTTCATAACCGGTAATTTTAATAAATTGTTGCTTATTCGAGGTATATAAAAAAAAAATTATTCTGCTGGGTGGCATTGTAAGAGTTACACAGCAAAAAGTTCAAATTTAACCAATCGATCTTTAAAAAAATACGTATTTGTGTGTGTTTACGGAAATTCTGACTAAAAACACATCTGTTGCACTTACAGTGTCGCAACGCACTACAAATTGAGTGTTCTGCGTCGATTTCAAGTTTCATTACAAGTTATAAAAGAGTAACTTATATAATTATTTCCTATGTTATCAGAATGGCTCTGAAAGCTAAATTCGCTGCACTAAACAATACAAAAATGGAATTATATAAATATTCCTAATTTGGTGCTAATCTGCCTTGTCTTTTTCATTCTTTAAAGTACCAACAGAACATGCCCTGGGTATTACCAACTGGACATTCTCAAAATTGGAGCTGTAAGAGTCCAATCCTTCTACATATACTAATGTTGAGAGGGAAAGGTATAGAAAAGTTGATAGCTTTGACAAAGAAGTTGTGACTAGCAATACATGTGCTATTGAACGATAAAGAAAAATAGACGCTGAAGAAATAAAAAAAAAATTTTAAACTTAAACAGAAACATGACATTGATCATATCCAAAAGTACATAATGGAAAATTATAAAAAGTACAGGCTTTACATTTCACAAGCCTACACGAGGTAGAAATTTCATTTGTGAAAAATCTCACCTAATAACTTTGAGAGGAACATACTTATATAAAATTAGGAAAATGCTTAAAAACAGTTACGATATTGTGTATGTGTATGAAACATGGATAAATGCACATCATACTAGAGACAAGGAATGACACTCTGTAGATGTAACTGTAAAAAGAGTAATATTAATTTGTAAGGGGGGAGGACTGACAATAGTCCATGCAGGTCACACAAATAATGAACTATTGGAGAATGATGAGCTCGTGTTCGTTTCAAAACCTAACGACGGTCGGGACTATCAGGTAGGGATGAATGGAAATATATTTATAGAGTGGATTGAAAGAATTTA